CATGATTTGCGTGAGTCTACGGGTCTTTTCGCTTTTCTTACACAGTTAGATAGCTTAGACAGACTCTTCTTCGCGCCTGGGACGTCCTACACGCACCGCACTGTTGTCTGTGGTGACTTGCCATCTATCTCTCTGGCGCTTATTTTGCGTGGCTGTGGCCGCTTTAGCTCGTAGGCTGTGCTGACAGTTTTACTGGAGAGCCACAGACGAGTTGGGCACTTCATTCTGCTCACTGTCTGTGCTCTCCAGGTAGGATAGCCCTCTCCATGTATTGACTTCATTCTGCTCACTGTCAGTGCTCTCCAGCCCGTTCTCGAACAACTCGGCTCACCTCGCCCTCCTTGCATCATCATCATCATCACCACCATATCTCACCTACTTCACCTATCTCCACCTCACTCCAGCATCAGGACACCATGTCCTCGTCTAAAGAGCTCACCTCCTCTCGTCGGGTTACGCCCCTGAACGACGTCAACTATGCCCAATGGGCGAAGGAGATGCGGGCCTACTTGGCGGAGAACAAGCTCTGGTTCATAGTCATCGGAACCATCAAGGAGCCGAGTGCAGGGGACCCGGAGCACATCACCTACCTCGAGAAGTCGGCTCAGGCCGCTGGGGCCATGTTCCTTGCTGTGGATGCCTCGCAGCATGTTCATTTTACCGGGATCGAGCTGGATGCACCTCTGTCTGGGCCAAGCTCCAATTCGTCCACCTCCAGAAGGTGTCTGGGGCGCGTTACAACGCTCTGGACGCTGTTTTCGCCGTCAGAACGTTGTCTGTGGTGACTTGCCAGCTCTCTGGCGCTTATTTCGCGTGGCTGTGACCGCTTTAGCTTGTAGGCTGTGCTGACAGTTTTACCGGAGAGCCACAGACGAGTTGTGCACTTCATTCTGCTCACTGTCTGTGCTCTCCAGCTCGTTCTCGAGTGTTGTCCAGCTGCTAGACGCCCTCAGACAACACAGAAAGCAGCCTGATGAGTCCCTGCCTTCCCTGGAGGCAGGGTGGACACTCTCGTTCAGACCTTCAAGGACTTGTGCCCGGACAGCTACACGCTCGAGCAGCTGCTCGCAGATCTAGCTGCCATGTCCATGCTTCGATCCCTGCCCCAGGAGTACGACTCCTTCACTTCAGGTCTCATTCAGCGGGATGCCACCAAGTCTGAGATTGTTCAAGCCTTCGTGCGGGAGCATCAGACGCGGAACGGCCGCCAGGATGGTTCTGCCTCTGCAGAAACCCTTGCCATGCGTGTCGCAGTGCCTACAGTTAGCAAGGCGGACCTCCTGTGCGATTTCTGCGAGATGAAGGGTCACGACGAGGAGCACTGCTTTGCCAAGCGCGATGCGCGCTCTGCTGCTCGTCAGAAGGCTGCCGAAAGGCGCCAGAACCGCCGCAACAACAAGAAAGGAGGCTCGCAGCACGCCCAGGAGGCTGCTGCAGTCCCCAACTCCACTCAGGCCGTCTCTATGGCTTATGCCGTCGAGCACGCCCTTGACGTGAGTTCTCCTGCCTTGCACGGCCCTTCACGCGATCCCAGCGCTGATTGGAACGCAGACACAGGCGCCACTTGTCATATGACGCCCCACCGTGGCTGGGTCTCTTCCTACAAGCCCCACAAGATACCCATTCGCCTTGCAGACTCCAAAGTCATCTACTCGGCCGGTGTGGGCTCTGTGCGCTTCATGCCGCAGATAGGAGGGAAGCCCGGGCGGTTGCTCGAGTTTGAGCGTGTCCTGCATGTTCCTGACCTTGGGTCTAGTCTCCTCTCTGTGCTGTATTTAACTCGTGAACGTGGTTTCTCTGTCTCGATCGAGCGCGACGTGATTTCCTTCCGCCGATCAGGAGCTCTGCTGTTCACCGCGACGTGCAACTCCAACAATGCCGCTTACCTCGACGGCAGGACAGTCCCACCTTTGCAGTTGGCTCAGCCGGCGAGTATAGTCCCTCTGGACCTGTCCCTATGGCACAAGTGCTTCGCCCATGTCCACCACGCGGCGATAAAGCAGCTGATCGACCAGGGACTCGCCAAGGGCGTTGTCATTGCTTCCTCCGCTCCCCCTGATCCCATCTGCGAGCCTTGCATTGCAGGCAAGCAGCGGCGTCCCGACGTGCCCAGGATTGCTCAGCACCGCGCCTCCAAGCCTCTGGAACTGCTGCACATGGACTTGCATGGTCCTGTGCCGGTCAGGACTCCGGAAGGCTACCGGTACTGGCACCTGATTGTAGACGACTGCACACACATCTATGCTTTGCAGCAAGGCCGATGCTTTCCCAGCTATGCAACGCTTCGTCCAATGGGCGGAGAACAAGCTTGGGACGCGTGTTAAGGCGCTCAGGGATGATAAAGGCGGCGAGTGGATGTCCAAGGAGCAGGAGCGATGGTGTATAGAACGAGGCATCGAGAGGCAGCACACCGTTGGCAACGAACCTCATCAGAACGGTGTTGCGGAACGAGCTAACCAGTTCCCGGCCAACGGTGCAACCTCTTTGCTCGTTGAGTCAAACTTGCCCCCGTCGTGCGCGCAACAGAGCGCCTACCTCTGCTCTGCCTGCATCTCTGACACCCTACATCGCCTTCTTTGGGGAGAAACCGGATGTGGACCACCTGAGGGCTTCTGGATGCGCTGCCTACGTGTACGTGCAGAAGGACCAACGCCATGGCCTTCAATCCCACAACCAGAAGTGCGTGTTCATCGGTTATCCCTCGGAGTACAAGGGATGGCTCTTCTACAACCCGGAGACGAAGAAAGTTCTAATCTCCAATGCTGCCATCTTCGATGAACGCAGTTTTCCGGGTTTGAAGTCGGCCGCATGGGACGTTTCTAAGGACTTCTTGCTCGAGTCGTGGCCTTCAGAGTTGCCGGATCAGATGGGAGTGGTTCCACCGCCCCCGGAACACGTCCAAGACGAGCAGAAACCTGCCATCCAAGCCTTGCCTGGTCCGGTGGGAGTGGGTGATCCTGCACCCCTTCCAGCAGCTCCTGATGCGCCTGCAGAAGGAGATGGTGGGAGTTCCCTACATCAATGCCGTGGGCGCCCTGCTCTACCTGGCCATCGCCACTCGTCCAGACATTGCCCATACGGTGGGAGTGCTGTCCCGGTTCTCCAAAAACCCAGGTCCGCGTCATTGGACCGCCGTGAAGCATCTGTTTCGCTACTTGAAGGGCACACTTGACTACAAGCTGACCTTTGAGCCGGACGAGTCAGGAGAGCCGTTTACCTCCTTTGTGGACGCCGATCACGGTGGAAACCCTGACAACGGGCGCTCCACCTCCGGTTTGTGCTCAAGATCGGCTCTGGAGCTGTCAGCTGGTCCAGCAAGCTCCAGACGACGGTTGCACTGTCTACAACGGAAGCCGAGTATGTGGCAGCCTGCTATGCCGGCAGAGAGGTCCTTTGGCTTCGCAACTTGCTCTCTGAGCTTGGATTCGAAGCTACAGCCGCTCCCTCGAGACTCCGGATAGACAACCAGTCTGCCATCTCTGTGGCCAAGAACCCAGAGCACCATGGGTGCACAAAGCACCTTGATTTGGTGTTCTATTGGCTCAGGGACACGGTTGAGGCCGGTCTCATCACTGTGGACTACATTCCGACGTCCCAGATGCCTGCGGACGCTTTGACCAAGGCTTTAGGTGCTGCTAAGGTCGCAGAGTGCGCCAGAATGATGGGATTGACTTCTCCATCAGGTGGGAGTGTTGAGGATGGTGATGGATCAGTCTAGGTGGTTACCATCCATCATTCCCCTGGTCACCGCTTTTCTGGCTGCTCTGATCATCCTTCGATGCTGGTCTCCTGGCTACATGTCTCCCATCTGTTCACATCAGTTGGTATCAGTTGGCATCAGTTGGTTGACCACACAACTGATGCAACCGGTCCAACGTCAGTTGGTTGCTTAGATCACTGATTCCAACCGTCCATCTCCACATGCTTGATCCCTATCTCCATAGCTTTGATATCTCCCTTTGTTACCTGTTACCATAGCTTCCATCATAGCTAGATGTATTTAGGGAGCAGGGGTGGAGCCCAGAGTCTTCAGACTTCGACTCACAGCTCCATTCCCTTGCTCCCAGGTCTGTCCCTAGTTGTATCTCAATAGACTTCGACTCACAGCTCCATTCCCTTGCTCCCAGCTCGCTACAGCGTGTCAGACAGCCTCCTACGCTGTTAAGGCTGACAAGCTTCTGTTGGCTAAGTGCAAGCTTCCTCGAAGGGGACTATATCCCTGGAAAAGGTTTGGAGGAGAGGATGAGCCAAAACCAAGGAAATAGAAACAAAAGAAGGGCTTTTTCCACGTACTGTTTCCCAACAAGCTGCCCTTGTCGCTGTTCTCTTTGCCCCCACAGTTTTCCTTGTCAGCATCTGCATATTATAGATGCCTTTTCCTCTTCAAAGGAGAGACCATATCCTCCTTCCTGGGAACCAGAATGGCCCTGTCAAAGAAGAAGAATGCATGCAAGTTAAGGTTTGACATCTTGAGCCAAAAATGGCCAGGAAAGGGGACCCACAGCATCCACTTCTTCACCAGCCTCATAACACCTAAAATAGGTAGGGGAGATGTGAAGAACAGGTAGGGGGGATGAGAAGAACTGATAGGGGGGAGGAAACAATCAGGGATGAGGCTCCTTGATGGTGGCCCTCCCTGAGGTGGCAATGCATTCTGGAGGATCTTCCCCAGAGTCTGCTGGGGGGAAGGGGAATAGGGTAGCTCTCCGCCCCTTCGCGCTCAACTCGGCCACTGCCGGCTGCTCCTCAATCTGTCCCGGCCACAAGTCACCCGTGCAAGCCCAACCTACCCGTTGCCATGCTCGCAAGCACCTAAACCACTGGCACTGGCACCCACGTGACTTATTCCCACACGTGTCACGTTCATCACATACACCATGATTTCAGCCTCTGTGCCTACCCCAGCAAAGCCCCTCAAGGACCTCCCCAAGGACCACCCTACCTCCTCTATCATCTTCCCCAGAGCAATAACGACAACGGTGCCTATTTGTCCACGACCTTGTGCACCTTGACCACAGATTGCCGTGATGACAGCCTGAAAACCACAATGGAGCACAAGGAGGCATGCTACCTCTGTCAAGATCAAGACGGAGCTAAGTCCGACGTCGGAGATGTGACGTCCAGACCTAGCGGGATGATTGTCGGAGTCGGGTCGGAAGAAAGTCGGAGTGAGTCGGAGAATGTCGGAGCAGAGTTTTGAGATACAGAGAGTGAGTGCGAGTACGGACCAGACTCAAGCTTTAAGGCTTGAGTCGCTACGCGCTCTAAGTCCGTGTTGGAGCAGAGGAGTAACTTAGTCGATATTCGAACTAAGGAGCTAGAGTACAGGAGCTAGGAGTTTATATACGCGGAGGCACGGTTCGGAGCTCGTATCGATAAGGAGTTATCGGAACTATGAACCATGTGGAATGATCAATCGTAAGGACGGAGCATATGGTTACGAAGCTGATAATCGGAGGTAGAATAAGTCCGAAGGGAATATCAAACCGTTAAAGGCATATCGATCGTGAACGTCGGAGTTGAATCCGTTATGACTCGAGAACTACCGGGACGTTGAGTCGCCGGAGGACTATTCATGTGATAACGTAGGTCCGGTACCGGAGCTGCTACTCCGATGGCGGACAACCCGGAACAACCGGAGCTATCGTACTTGGCCTGGTTATGGCCCAAGATCCGACACGTGACAACCTCGCAACAATGACAACGGTGCTGGAATCGGTGCTGACCCAAAAATGCGGTGTGATGCGGAGGGTGTGTTGGACACGCTGCTAGGGGGGCCGTGTGGATGCTGCAGGGACTGGCCCCTGTCCTACAATAGTGACAATAGTGTACTTCTGTATCTAGTATGAGAAATGATATGGTGTTGTCTGCATACCGCTGGCGGTGCGGAGCGGAGTGGTATCGATGAATATAGGGTGAATCCACGATGCCTGCCTATATGATTCACAGCTGGTGACCAGCTGTATACTCGCACCTGTACCAGTTGGAATGGCACCATACTGAGGGGATTGGCAGATAACTCTGTGAATCAGCTTGACAACGGATGTACCCCATGCGGGGGCGGCAGGTAACCCCCATGTTGCGTTCAGCTAGCTATCACATGAGGCCAAGATGGCAGTGTGTACCCACTGACAGTCACACCCTTCCTTCACTGTCAGTTTTGGTCTGCCATGTGTGGAATGAGTATTGGAGGAACCCATGTGAGCGCGTATGGACCTTACGACTCATATACCTCTAAAATGTGATTGTGATGGCAGGGCACGAGTGTTGTCCCTGTTACTCGAATTGCTGAGGGTTTCACTACTGGCAGCCATTACTCGTCGATGGGGGCACACACATCTCATCTGCAGAGTACTGTGTCTTTCCACACCTATAGAAACCACTTCTGCTGTCAGTGGACAAAAGTGTCCGCTGCTGAAGCTGATGACATAGGGCAGGAGTACATAGCCGAGCATGGGCCGGCAGCATGGGAATTCGACACACATGCACATAACCAGCGTGGCTCCACTACCACGGACTCACACATACTGTTACTACCAACCCCTATTGACATGCAACCCAACTCTACCACCACCTCTGCAGAGCTGCCAATGGATCAGCATGGCGATTGACCACCACTTGTAGTGTACTGAACCAACTCAGGGTATTCATGGCTGTCAGGTGACTTCATTGTCCCAGATAGTGCAGTGCAAGATCCCACACAAATGCTGTCTTTAGGGACCTGGAAGATGTGAGGGTCGGAAGTTACTATGAGAGACTGGAACGGTCTCATGCTATACATGGTAGATGGGTGGATGTGTTGTGCGGTGTATGGGAAGGTTCACGGTCCTTTTGCAATGGGACACCGATTTGCGGTCTATGCAGTAGAACAGAAGACTCGGCGCTTTCACGGTGTTCGCTGGTCCCCCTGTGGCTTTCCAGAGGAGACAGAAGTCATGATCCCCTTACATGCAACCAATCTGCGGTTCTGGTAGCGGTTGTGGATCACGCTCACTGGTGGATGGAGGACCATTGACACTACAGAGGAGGAAGGCTTGGGGACAGCCTAGAGTAGGCAGACTGTAATACCTGCCTTGCAAATTGGGAAGAGAATGCTGGGCACTTCTTTTAGGGCTGGACCCTCAAAGGATAGGGAGGGACCCTCAAGGAACAGGGAGCACCCTTAAAGAAGGGGGAGAACCAGGAAATAGAGGGTACACCCTAGAAATTTGGGGTAACCACCCTAGTTTATGACAATACAGAACAATAGGGTGGTACCCTGTTCTTTTCAAGGGTGCAACCCTCCTCTGAATTTGAAATTAGTAGCAATATATAAGGAGGCTGTCCCTCTTGCCCAACTGTATGAACCAAAACCCCCACTGAATTACAGATCTCTCAGCAGTCACAAAGCAGTGTGATTATTGAGAACTAAGTGTATATCTGACTGAAGTACCTAAGAGTGAGTGTCAAGATCGGATACAAGCAAAGGGTAATAGGGTCGGAGGACCGAAGTCCGAAATGTATATACAAATAATAGAATGAAATAGGAAGAGAAACTCAAGGGGTAGAGCCAGAGTGGAGTCGGAGACGCGTCGGCGTGAAGTCGAGAAGCGTTGGTGGAGTCGAGATCGGATGCGGACCAAGCCTAAGCTCGTGCGCTAGGCTGCTACGCGCTCTGAGTCCGCAGGAGGAAGAGAGCAAAGCTTAGTCGATATTCGAACTGACTATCTACGGTACAGTTCGACGGTTTATATGCATAAAAGAGAACAATGGCGAAGTCGGAAAGTCAGAGACCAGAGGCGCCGTTCGGCGCACAAAGGGAACATACGGAGACGAGAGATAACGCATGGAACACAAAGGGAACATATCTACGGAAGAGACGGAAAAGGCGGACCGAAAGATCCGTTGCAAGCGACGGGAAACTAAAGTCTACAAAGGGAAGCTATGATGTCAGACAAAGGGAACAGGAATCAGGAAAGTTGGAGTTGAATCCGTTCAAAGATCTGGAACCACCGGGGCGTTGAGCCGCCGGTGGCCCGGTGCATGTGATAGGCGTATCCCGCCCTTGACCGAAACGGGAAAGGCAGGATCGGTGTCGGCAAAGAAGTCGGTGAAGGGTCGGAGATCAGATCGGAGAAGATCGGTATAGATCGGTGACAATTGGCGGAGCGGATTGGCGTAGGTCGGTCTGGATCGACACGTGACAGTGAGGCTGAAATAGTTGAGGATTGAAACCTCATTATTCTCACCTACTCTGACTGTATCAAACCGGACCTACACTACCCCAAAAACAACTCCAGTAACGACTCATTTGACCTGAATCTATAGCCCCCTTCAAACTTGCACTGCGGACAGTGGCGACACTATCTTTACCCTGATAGCATCACTCTTTCTGCTCTGACACCACCCCGGCCAAAGTGATCTGAGAAAAAGCCAATACATTGACTGGCCGACAGTGTCAAAAAAGCACTGTAACACTTTGACACTGTGCACACCCGATATCCGCCATTTTGCGCTTCTCAATGTTGTGGCTGTGTGGCAACCTCTCTCCTCATGCCTTGGCGACAACCTTGGCCCTCAACAATTGACATGGCCCACTCGACCTGCAACGGATCGGTCGTCAACCGTTCAAGCACGATCAACAGTCATGACGACCGATAGTCAATCACAGCGTCTGATAGCAAGGGGGAAGTTAGGAGATGGTACCTGGCATGATCGGCAGACGCCTTGGTATCCCTTATATATTTGCTTTGCGATGTACTGTACCTTTTTTTTAACAACGTGCTTATCCCGTTTCTCCACCGTACTGTGTCCAAATCAGCGTCCAAACCAGCGAGCAAGCGACCGACTCTGACAAAGCACCTGACTACTGATCTACTACCGTCACACCTCTATTCGGCTATCTACTACATCTCTACTTATCTACCCTACCTCTCAGCAGCCACTGGGTTTGCCTCGTTGCTCTCGCACCCTACTTTCGCCTTGTTTGTCCCCACCCGCTTGGCAGTACTACAACTGGAGCCCACCGCGAGGGTCTCTTGAGCTCTCAACCTGCCGACCCTACCAACCCCTATTTGACTTTCAATACATCTTGACCCCGGGACAGCTGTGGGTGATTCTTCCCTCAGCGACCACCGTCTCCAATACTTTCGCCACTATCTTCACCTCCTAGCTCTCCGACTCCGACTCCTTGCTGACTATCTCTTCACAAAGAATTACAAGAAGCAGCGCAGAACTCTCCCTTCCCTCCTCATCCTTCCATTCTTCTTATCTCTCCCTCAGTTACTACTACTATGGTGGCCACGCCTATGCCTGCGCGGCACAATCGTAGCACCCCAGTCTTCAAAACCACCACCGATCTTCCCAGCTACATCAACGAACTCGAGTGGCTCTTCGGCGAACACGGCGTCACTGGCAATCACAACAAAATCAATGCATCCTTATGTTACCTCCCGCATCTCGAGACCCATGTTTGGAAATCGATCGAATCTTACTCTGGTGCTACAAAATCTTGGGCTGAGTTCAAGGACGAAGTCATCAAGCTCTATCCTGGTGCTGCAATCGAAGGCCAAACCACCCGCGACAATCTCAAAGCTCTCATCCAAGCGTGTGCCACCTCTGTCATCACCTCTTGCGCCGAGCTCGGTGAGTATAACCGCCAGTTCAAAGTTCTCGCAGATGATCTACTTCAGAAACATGCAGGCAGGATCCTCTCAGACAATGAGGCCAATGACACATATCTGCGTGGGTTCATGGCCGGCGACCTCCGGCAGACTCTAGTAATGCGACTGGCGCTCATGATCCCGGACCATGACAGCGAACTTGCATACGACCATGCTAAGGTCTTTGCGGAGGCCGATGCCATCCTCTCGGGTCATCATGGTGCAGCCTTGCTGCTCGACCCTTCCAGCTTCACCACTATGTCAATCAAGCAGGAGGACGTTTCTTCTGCAGTACAGACCACATTGAATGCTCAGGCAACCACTTTCGACTCACGCATGGTGACCATGGAGGTGTTGTTCGCAGCCTTCATGTCAAATGTAGCTCCCAGTTCAGTTCCAGCAGCATCGGCTGCTCCGCGTCCTCCTCTCCCTCTGCCATCTGCGGCTCCCGGCAGCTGCCACTTCTGCAGCGGCTCATGCTTCATTTGGAACTGCCCTGAGGTCGTGCGATATCTTCAACTAGCCTGATTGCACGTGGCACTGATGGTCAACTCATGCTACCTAGCAGTGCTTACATCCCAAGCAGCCGCACCAGGCCTGGCGCCACCATGAAGGATCGTGTTGATGACTGGCACTGGACGCATCCTGGTCAGACCGCCGCCACCTTTCGCGACAATACTACATCAACATCTCGTGACCAGCCACCACACCTTATGAGTAATTTTTTTGTGGCTTTCTCTGCCCCTTGTGCCAGCGTCTCGGCCTTGGGCTTTTTGCTCGAGAGTGCTCTTTTGAACTCAGTGCACATTGTAGAACTTGAGGAAGACAACACTGATCCAATTCAGGGGTATCTATGGGCTCAGCTCTCCATGTGCACAGTAGGCAACCCACGTATTCATGTCTTGGAGGCAGAGATCAGCAAACGATGTGCCGAGGTGGCTGAAGGGGTGGAGAAGACCTGAGCCTCAGCACGGTCCACCAAGGGCAAACCGGCTATTTGTTTGGCCGATGAGCAGCACAATGGTCGCACTAACAATGACATCTGCAACCATCCTGCTCCATCACCTATCCAAGAGCCTTGTCCGGATTGCAACGACTCGCCACTGCCAGCACCACTGTGTTCCTCCACGCCACCAACTACACCTACTTCGCACCCGGCCCAAATTCCTGCTACAACAGCAGCCCCTGGACCTCACCCACCTGCTGCTGCGCCAAATACTCTGCGTGTCATCTATCCGCCAAAGGCACCTCGCCTCTCTGGTCACTCTGGTGTTTGCAACCTTGCACCTGTGGAGGAAGGTCTCGTCGTGGACCAACTCGTCGATGATTTCTTGGACTCGCCCCTCTCGAATGTTACCAGACGGCAGCTCCTTGGTGCCTCGTACGCTGCTTGCCACCAGCTCGCATCTCGTATTATCCCACGCAAGGTTCCTGTCGACAGCGCCAACTCAGCTTCTGCTCTGTACTTGTCTGGTCCACCACTGACTACGACTTTCAACAGCGACGCTGTCAGTTTGGCGACCGATGGTCCAAGAACTTCCACCTCCGACGGCAGATACTCTTCAACCTCGTCACCGAGCAGTCCATCCAAGGCTGCCCATGCAGCAATGGTCTTGATAAGCAGCTCATCCTCAAGGTCATGGTCAGCCGTGCGCTGGGGTGAATCGTCGTCCATGTGCGGGCTGGACAATCTCAGTCAGGTAGATCTCTGGTTGCTTGCCTTTGCGCTGCTTGCATGCGCAAGTACACAATACCATCTGCCTTGCGTGCACGTCCACTTTTATGCTCTAACTAGGCAACTCGCCCACATGTGCCCACCTTGTGCTGTTTGATCAAATCTTCATTCAATCGTGGGATAGCACGAGGTGTGCAAAGCAAGCGCGGCGGATCCTTCGTACCTCCTACCTCCACGACCATATTCTTATCGCGAGAGAACCATCGATCAGATGTCTACCAGCTCAGCACCACACCTGTCCAAGAAGATCGAGGCACGTAGACCGCTCGGATACCCGCTGTCATGGCGGACGCTAGCGGAGTTGCCCTTCATGTTGGAGGCAGCATGCAGGGACCTCGAGGCCGCCAGCACGGGCAATGTTGCAAAGTTTGCGATGCTGGAAGCATTTATCGACATGTCTCGATATTTTCAAGGCCCGGAACAATCAGAAGCCATACAGTGGCTCTCCAAGAAGGCCAAGAGGCTCATCATCCCACAAGAGCGTGCGTCGACAGAACTTGCAATGGAGCGGGAACAATGGCGCACGGTGAGGAACGAGGCAAGGCACGAGGTGGCCAAGATGCGCCTGATCCCTCCCGAGCTGTTCATTGCGATGGAAGAAAGTCCTGGACCATCTCAATCCCTGGTGGAGCAGCACACAAAGCAGCGTGCTAGAGCGCGTCGTGCCAAACACTGGAACCGGAAGTCCTGTGCAACACCAGTACGTGTGTATTGCTTGCATTGATCTCCGCTGACGTGTTTGCAGGACAATAGTGGGGGAACGTTCACCGCAGTTGAGGTGGACGAGCAGTGAAATAGTGTCATGGTAAGACAAACACATGAGTCCTTTGTATCATCTGACAATCAACGGTCAGGAGGAGGCTGCAGGCTCGTCAACAATGGTAACTGTGCCCATTGTTGAGATATCTCCAGTCTTTGAGAGTCCCACCACGCTGCATGACTTGGCGGGCTCAGGGCTCTTTGAACCTCTGATCCCCGCAGATGGGTTGAAAGATGTGGTACAGGACAACACCCCCAACAGTGACATGGGATTTGTTGATCCGCCTGTGTCGCAGACTGCCGTCGTGCAACCTGCACCCCCCATCACGCCTCTCGCGCGATCATCAGTCGTCAGTCTATCTGGGAAACGGGATGATATAGACGTGGACGGACACTCCGGTGTAGAGGTTATCGTGGAAGACGCACCCTCGGGCCCTCTGATGTCTGTTCAGAGCTCTCCGGCAGCACTCCAGCAGGAGCTTCTTCAGTCCCTGGCAACGCTTAAACCGTCTCAGGATTATATCCTTCCCAATCTTATGATGCCTGCTCCGGACAGGCCGTATCTCTTCTTTGACGAGGCGGACAGCCTTTTCTTTCTCAGCGCTAAGAGGATTAAGAAGTCGTCAGAGCTCCTCGAGCTGGCGTCAAAAAGGACACTCAACTTGTTCGCCCTCGACGCGTACACCATGGATCATCACTTCGGTCCTTTCATGGATGTACCCATCTACAAGGTTCTCATCTACCTCGATGCCGTTCTCCCCCAGTCCGCAGGCCAAGGAGGAGTTGACTGGCCAAATGCCCCACCTTTCTGGCAAATGCAACTTCTCACCCTTTTCTATATGCTTTTCCCAGACCTCTATGAGACGGTCAAGGTCATACGCATTCAACGAAAGTCATCTCTGGTTCAGAGAATCGTGGCTGCAGAGGCATACCATGCACCCCCTCGATTACCCATTCGGCTGAAACCCAAACAATATACGCTACGCTATGCAGGCATTGCCCTTCTTGACGGGAGTTGCTTCACGGAATACATGCTTGACAGAGGAATCAGCAGAGCGGAATTGCGACGGTTTTCGAGCGCAGCGCGGGTGCTGGTGCTCTTCATGGTGAAAAAAATTGTCCACGTCAATTTCATGTCCGACGAACACCTTCGAAGGTTGGAAGAGCTGCTTTGCAGAGGAACGGCATTTGATCCTCGCGATCCCAAGGATTGGCATAACTACACAGTCAGGGAGCTACGAGCTGTAGGGATGTCCATGAAGTTGTGGGATGGTAATTGTTGCCCTGGCACCGATCCCATGGCCCCTTTCCTACCCTATGTTGTATAAGTAGTAACCCTTGCTTGTTTATCATAATTCTCATTGTCACACCCACTCCACATACTCTGTAGACAAATAATCATTGACATATCATGGAGTTGATCCCGAACAAAATGCTGTTGTGCAACGGCAATGTCTACTCGATTGACCCTACTCGATTGACGGGAGGGCCAAGTTAACCACCCCACTCAAACTTCACACCGTGCAAGCTCCACCACTAAGGTTGCAATAGCGTCAGCCGCGTCTAAGGAGCTGTGCCCTGTGTTCCATTGCAAGATTGAGCAAGAGCGCAGGGAAGCTCCCAATGCATGGTGTAAGCCAAGTGCGGATGAACCCACGACGGTCGCAGGTCGGCATGAGGCAAATGAATCCGATGGCATCCTGTAGAGGTATGAGCAGTGTGATGAACCTGAACGGAATCACTTGCCAGGTTTTGAACACCAACCACAGACAACACAGTGGCAGTTATTTTGCGGGAGCCATCCAAGCCATGGATCTCATTAAGAAAGAACATCAAGTTTTCATTGTACTTTTCATATTCGATGCAATTCTGCATAGAGGGCTGCAACACGTCGGCGGTAGGTTCCACATTTTCCAAGTCCATTTGCATCCGTGCCGTGCCCCAATTGCTGAGATGGACTTCGAGCAGAGCGGACATGAATGGGGTAATGACAGGAGCCAAATATTACATGAGCCATCGTTGGCACTGGATTCTGGGGAGAGTGCACAGGACATCGAGTCGGTGCTGCACTGTATGGTAAACAACAAGAGAACTCCGGGAGAAGGTGCCATCATCTCACCAGGGTGTCGATGCCATGTGTTGCAAATATGATGGATATCGTCGCCCTCTCCTTATGGCCGAGGTCAGAGAGCCCTCGAACAAACTCCAGTACGGTGGGATCAAGATGGTCAGGCCTTGGCATCTCGGCGCAGAGTTGCAGGAGTGAGAAAAGACAGAAAATGACTAGGCAAAGTCGCGGAGCGTCTTACTTAAATGATACCATCTTTGAGCGAGTATGTAACAATGCGTCAGGTAGTGGTAAATGGATGTGAATCCGCTTGCAAATAAATGTAGATTTGGTCGACCACACGGTAGATAGTCTGCCTCATGCCATTACCGTTATTCGCTTCAAACGTAAAGACCCTCGCGGTCAAACGCGCTAGCTGCACGAACCCAGCAGAGGCATAGGTTAGTCGGATGACGAAATGTTCACAGGAGCCAGAAGTTGTCGATAACAATACTGGCGAGAGGTCAGTAATGACTAACACTGGTTCGCTATTTGGAACAATGGGATTGCATCTACACTAAGAACCACGTAGACAATGGCATGGGTGCACAAAGAACCATCAATGAATGAATGACAGGAATGATCGACCGCACAATGGCGGGAAATCAGAATAAATAATCCCAGCAGGCGCGGAAGTTGTTTATTCAATAATGGCACGCAGGTCCCAATCTCACCCGAACATCAGGGACGATACCACCGATCCCGTGCTCCCTCGAGCTTCCTTGTCACGAGTAGTCACCTTGACAACCGAGACCACAATCATCCAATCAGATAGGCGAGCTGCGGCAATGCCCGCTCACAACATTGACGCTGGCAGCCTTCCATCCAACGACCGCAAGGCGATCACCGCAACGGAAGCAGTGCAAGCCACCAATACCGCGCCCGCGCCCACCACTGAGCACAAACTATGTAAGTGCTCATCCGTGAGCAGCGACATACGCGTTACTAATGCAAGGTTGCAGATCCTGGTCATTGTGAGGCTAGGGTGATACACCCAAATCGCTGGCAGCTGGCAAGAAATGCTCATGTGGAGAATGAAAGAATGGCAGCGAGTGCAAAGCCTCTCTCCTTTGGTGTTGGGGACTATGTGCAGCTTCAGGATGGCTTCGGACGGTTCCTGTTGCGCGGTACTATCTCCGGGTTCACCAGATATAGCAAGCAGTTCGTCATATTCCAGGTGGATGGACACACCGAGGCATATGGGATTACTGGGGTCGCCGAACCGCGTCTCGACGTGAATCAATTTGTTGTTCCTAGGGAACGCGCCTGTGGGGCGCCCTTGTGGAGTGTCAATGAGTGGGCGGTGGACTCGGCGCGGAAGCTGCTACGCAGGAAGGGACCGTTGTGGATGGGAGATATGCTCAATCGCAGGAGTCGTATGGAGGACGATGTGCCGTTAAAGTGATAGATATCATCGATATGCTTGGATTAGTTTATGTACAGGGTTCGTAACAGCAGCGTGTGGATAATGCAAATTTAAACCTGCACATTCATTCAATGAACACAAGCTCCTTCCACTCTCTCTCGGACGGCGAGGCTTTGGTGCGGAGCAGGGACCTGAGGAACATGGGAAGCATTGCGTACCACTCTCGGTCGTAGAAGCTCTCGGGGAGGCCAACTACAGGGTTTCGAGTAGACATTTTCCTTGTCTCCGAAGGGTCTCTGATACGCTGCGCTCGCACCTGCCCCTGCCTCTTGAACGAGGGCAATTTCGCATGCATGGACTCCAGGATCTGCAGCTCCTGTTCGATATTGCGTCGCCACGGAACAGACATCACCTTGAACACCTTGGTTGCGCCGGATCCTCCTCGTCCTCGCTGCCGCTGTCCTTGAGCTCATGCCTCC